CTTATTAGAATTTTTTATTTAATAAAATTAACCTGAAAAATGAAATTTCTAATTGCTCTCCTAAACAATAATAAAATTACTTGAATTACTAATTAAAATAAATTTTTGATATTATTAAAAATTGTTAATTAACTTAATTATTTCTTAATATAAGAGGCCATTTGTTATGGAATTATAAACTTCAGGGGATGAGATGTAATTTGTAAAATCACAAGGAACAATTTGTATTTTAAATAAATCTCAAAGATATGTTTGTAATTTACCTGCAAATTTTATTAGTATTGTTGGATTTATTTGTTTACAACTTAAATATTTTTAAAATATTTAAAAACAAAACAAAGCATGATGCACGTTGTACCATGGGCCCAATTATCTCATGTTTGTTTTAACATTTTGGTTTAGGATTATTAATCCAATGGATAATTAATCCAACAAATTTGTAGGATTATTAGTAATGGGGTAGGGGTGGGATTATTAATCCAATGGATATTAATCCAATTGAATAGTGAATCCTACACTAATTTAATAGGATTATTAATACTTCACTATTAGTCTTTTGAATCAAACATGACCTTTAAGCTTTAGACCAAAGTAACCAAAGTACAGACAGTTATCCAATTGGTTGATGTTTTCGAATTTAAAGGACATTTCATTTCATTTTCGTATTTTTTTTTCAAAAATAGAAAAAAAACAAAAACTAACAAGGAAAAGTAATTTGACAAACTCTTTTAAAAAACTATTTTTGCACAAAGGAAAAAAAAAACAAGGAGAATTAGTTTTACACGGTTGTCCTGTACACCTAGAAATTCACAGTTTGCGAATTAAATTGTGCCATCTCACCGATCCTCAAATTTCAACTCAAAATCTAACAGATTTTTCCAATCAACAAATTTGTTGGCTATCATTCACAACTCTCACTATGAACCCATAAAGCAAAAGACATCTTTGTCTTTAATTTCTCTAAAATTTTCCTCAATCTCGTGATTCAATAATGTTAACGAAGTTTTAGGATAGAGAAAGTAGCATCTAACATAGAGAGAGAGATGATGATTCAAGTTGTTACTGGAGGGTGGACATTGGCAGCATGCTTCAAATGTCCTCATTTAAATTTTATTCTTCTTGCCATGTATTCTTGCTGTTGCCTTTGAAAAGAAAGATCGAGTTTGGTTTCTGGAATCTAGTTGACTAACTCTGTTTTGGAGCATTGACTTGCTGCCTCCTCTTGTAGATTGGTGTGTATCAATCAGATTTTATAAATCTCGAAATGTTTTAGATTGATTGGTGTGATGAACAAATCTACAAAGTGCATGGTTGGGTGAAAGAGGGAAGGTGAGAAGACAGCAGTGGACCGGTCTATGTTTCGGTTCGAATATACCCTCTAACTCATTCCCTCTTAAAAAGAAGTCATTTTAAGCTAAATCGGTGCAAACCACGGTTAAACCGCTAAACTGCGAGTTGGTTTGCTATGTTTGGTAATATTGAAAAAGTTGATGCTAAAGGGACTTGAACACAACACCTCAAGCTCCCTAGAGCATGAATTTTCACTCTGCTACCATGATTCATTCCTAATATATAGGAAATATATAATATTAATTGTACTCAAACTAATTTCCCTTAAGCACGAATTTGCACTTTGCTACCATGGTTCCTTGCTAATATATAAGAAGTATATAATACTAATTGTACTCAAACTAATTTCCCTCAAACACATGTATAATTAATATTTTTACAAATAATAATAATATAAAAAATATATATATAAACATCTATATTCGATGAATATATATATTAAATTATAAAAATATTTTAAATGAATGTATTTTATTTATTTTTAAATTATAAAAATATTCATAAAATAATTATGACATCACAGTTCGATTCTAACTCAACTTGCCAATTGAACTAGTGATTCATCCACTAGATCCATTTTCCGATTCGTTTACCGATCTAGTTTTTAAAACATTACACTCACCACCTACTTACAAACAAGCCTCTTCTCTCTGCCTACCATTTCCCCACCACTCACCACCTCTACCTCCACCTCCACCTGTTGCCACAACTTTCCTCTATCACCTCACTTTACATAGAGGTGAAAGCAGCAAGTTGGGGATTAGTCTTGAGGCATCGCTACATGGTGCCCTATATGTGTTGTGATTAGTAGAGGCACTACAAGAAAATACACTTTTGGCGACTAAATTTTTAGTCGCCAAAAGTCCTTTTTTAGTCGCCAAATGTCGAATTTTCACTTTCGCCGACTAAATATTTTAGTCGCCGGTTTTGTCGCCAATACGTGGTCGCGCATACCTTTGGCGACTAAAAAACTGTTAGTCGCCAATAAACAGGTCTTCAGCGACTAAAGAATTTGTCGCCAATAGTCAATTCCATTTTTGAAAATTATATCTTTGGCGACTAAACTGTTAGTCGCCAATAGTTAATTTTTTTTTATTATTTATACATTTCTCGACTAAACCTTTCGTCGCCCATAGCCTAGCTTTCGGCGACCACTGACTTTAGTTGTTGAAAGCATTTTCAGAAAGACTGAAAAAAAAAAAAAAATTTGCCTACGCTACTACCAAGTTTCGAACCTATGACCACCAACTTCCCAACATTCTCAACCTTTACCAATACTCTCTCTCCACTACGCCACTACAACCTCATGTGAATATTAATGCAACATATATTATTTATGTACTATATTCGCCAGTATTAATACAAAACTATATATATATAAATAATTATTTTTATTTAATTTATTTTATGTAAAAAATAAAGTATTTACTAAAAAAAATATGAGAGCACTTTTGGCGACTAAATCTGAATTTTAGTCGCCAATTCTATGCTTTTTGGCTACTAAATGCTGCGTTGTCGCTAAAAACATTAATTTCCGCCCCAAAAAACTACTTCCGGCTACTTCCGGCGACTAAACTTACTTTTCGTCGCCAAAACCTGAACTTTTGCCGACTAAACTCAGTTTTAGTCGCCAAATTGTCCACTTTTAGCTACTAAATGTTTTTAGTAGCCAAAAACCTTTACTTTTGGCTACAAAAAATTTGTTTGTCGGTAAAACACCTATATTCGGCGACTAAAGTATTTTTTAGTCGCCAAAAACCGTGCCTTTTAGCTACTAAAATTTTTGTAGTCGCTAAAACCCCTATATTCAACTACTAAACTCCTTTAGTCGGCAAAAGTCATCAATTTTGGCGACTAAATCCATTTTAGTCGCCATTTGTGCAACTTTCAGCGACGAAAATCATTTTTTTAGTCGCCATTGGTGCTTTTTGTTGTAGTGAGGGAATAGGACATACGATTTTGTGTTGGATGATTAGGGCAAGGCATATGTGATTAGCTAAGAATATAGTCACGTGATCCACGTGATGCAACTAGACCAATCAATAATTTTTCAACAAGTTGAGGAGCATTTATATGGTAGATCCAAATTTCAATGAGGTGGCTTCATGTAATTGGTTGTCCGCAAATCTCAAATAAGCGTTTATTATTTTTGTTTTTAAAAACACATACACACACAAACAAAAAAGAGTTAATTATCTAAAAGTCCTATTTATAAATGTTATGGTTACTCAGGTCTTATCTAAGATTTTTTGAACAAATAAGTCCTATTTAGTAAAACTGATAATATTATCAATTTTTTTCAATTTTTAACTAAGAATATTATCAATTTTGCATAGTAATGTCCAAATAATTGTTTTACTAACTGATGAAAAAAAACAAAGTATGAGATTAAATGTTTTTGTCCTTTTTACTTATTGATTTGATTCAACTATCCAATAAAATCGAGGACATTATTAGTTTTTTCCAGTTTTAAAAATGATAACATTAGCAGTTTTTTTTTTAAAGTTTTTTTTTTTTTTGCACATCAATGTTCCATCATTATGCTCCTTTATAGGCACAAAATTTTCAGTTTTGCACTAAAAAATAATTCAGTTTTTTCAATTTTTCAAAAAAACATTAATTTTTTTTTCCACACTTTTTTTTTTTTTAGTTTTTTCAATTTTAAAGTTGATGTTTTAAAGTTTTAAGAATCAAAATAAATGTCAAATTATCATGTTTCTTTATAGATAATCATAAATAATGAATAATCATTGTTTGAAGGGCAATTCCGACTATTAAAAATTTAATGGGACTTGAAAGTCCAAAAAATTTTAGTTAAAACTTAATGGAGTATAAGTTTATGAATTAGGAATTGTGTGTAAATGCCTAAAAAAAACAATTAATTTGAAATAAAAACAACTTTATAAAGGCTTTTTAGAAGGAAAAATATTATGAACTCCACTTATGTATCCCGAATGAGAGTTGTATAGTTGAAATTGAATTTATATAATGCAGGATCTATGTGTAGAATAAATTTAAATTATAAAATGACAATTCTCGATAATTTCTAAATACTTAAATATGAATTTATAGTATTACTATTTTAAAAGTCGACACTTAAAAAAGAAAAAAAATTAAAAATACCACGTAATCAAACACAATCTCTTCTTTATAGATCCTACTTTTTTTGTGGGTCAGACTAAAACATATTCCTTGAGTAAGCAATTGGTCAATTATTGGCAAAGATTTTTTTGGTATAGTTCTAAATTAATTGTATTATACATAAGAATCATTTAATTAAATGTACAAAAAAGTGATATATTTGCACCTCATGAAAATGATATTATTTTACCACTATATCCAACTAATTTGTAATTCCTCCAAGTTTTTTTTTTCCCCAAGATTTTTGCTACTGATAAATATCTGTAAGTGTGCATTGCATAACATATGCATATATTGTTATTATGTAATTTTGTGATTTGAGTTATACATTTTTGTAAGATAACTTGTGTAAGTTTAAAAAAAGTTACATGATTTTGTAAATTTCAAAAATTTTAAGAATATATATTTTTGTGAGATCACTTATATAAATTCGTGAAAACTTAAATGATTTTATGAATTATGCATATGGTGTGAAGCTTACTTGCTTCTGTATATGTGAAGCTTTGAGATGGTGGGTATATATATATTTACAACTTGGGTAGAAGATGATGGCAAGCTATAGTTGCATCTGGCATTAAACATAAAGAGTGGCATTTTGAAACAGAGAGAGAGAGAGAGAGAGAGAGAAGAGGATCACATCACAACAAACAAGCTTTCCATTTTCCATCAATGGCTTCATCAAGCAATCATCACTCTTTTCCAAAGTACCCATACCCATCAGAGTTTAAAGTGGAAGACTATGTCCCCATCATTCTCTTTGTAGCCAATTACTTTGAGTGGAAACAACTGATGCTCGACTTCATTCAGAGTCGAGGCATGGTTGGTTTCATCGATGGCACACTTGAGGCTCCACCTGAAAAGGTCACCACATCAGTCGCAGATGCTGGAGGCGAGATTGAGATTGAGAATGACGATTACAAATCCTGGAAAAGATCAGACGATCTTGTACGAGGATGGATCATCACCACACTTGACTTAGATAACCGACTACGCGTGATTCAATATAAGACTGCTAGAGAGGTGTGGACTGCCTTGGAGAAAATGTGTGATCCATCTCAAGCTTTCCACGAACAAGGTAATTAGACAGAATGAGACATTGTTAGATATGGAGGGTTATTTTGAAAACTATAAATGGTAGGACTGTTTGGAAACTATGGCTCTCCATTTAAGTTGGTAATTTTACATCTCCAAAGGTAGTAGGCATTTTACCTATCAAATGTGTGATCCATCTCAAGCTTTCCACGAACAAGGTAATTAGGCAGAATGAGACATTGTTAGATATGGAGGGTTATTTTGAAAACTATAAATGGTAGGACTGTTTGGAAACTATGGCTCTCCATTTAAGTTGGTAATTTTACATCTTACATGTTTGAGTTTGTAACAAATTGATAGTTGACACGTAACTCGAACCTTTGTCATTGTCAGGGTAAAATTAGGAGAGGGTTTGTGGGGATCTTAATCTTTTTCCTTTTTTCTTTTTTTTCTTTTTTCTTTTTTGGCAAGAAAGATCTAAAAAAACTATTAATGCCACAACATGAAAAAGGATCACTCCTGTCCATTGCATTTTATTTTACGTTGTGTTTGGTTGGGGGATTTGGGAAGGGAAATGGAAAGAGAAATGGAAATGAAAGGAAAAGGAGAAAGAATTAATAGAATTCCAAATCCCAACTATGTTTGGTTGTGTTGGTTATAAAATAGAATTTATGTCCTAAAAGGTATCCTATTTCTTTATTTATTTCTCACCCCCTTTCTTTTCCCATATATTTTTTATTATAACCAAACATAAATAGGATTACATTTCTCATTCCTTTTCCAAATCCCACCTCAAAAACTCCAACCAAACACAGCATTAGGAAAACTACAGGTCACGGTATTTTGACCAAAAATAATTACAAGTGCGTGGGGTGCAAATCTTTTTAGTATAGTAAAAAAACACAGGAAAAAAAAAAGTTACATCCCACAAAAATTCCCATGTAGTTTCCCTTTTATTTTCATCTTTAATTTGATCAACCTTTTTGTTAGCTGATTTGTGTGTTGAATTGGATGACAGAAGAAGAAAGACAGAAAGTAAACCATTACCTCCCACTGCACATAGCTGCAATCAAAGGTGATTGGGAGAGCGCCAACAAATTTATAGAACAAGAACCAGATGCAGTCAGGGTTCCCGTCACTGGATTAAGACAAACATCACTTGTCGTCGCCATTAGGTTGGCGCGGAGAAATGAATTTGTGAAGAAGTTAATAGAGAAGATGTCACCAGAGGATCTAGCTCTAGTCGACTCCAGAGGCAGGACAGCCCTTCATGAAGCTTCAATTACTGGTAATGTTGAGGCAGCCAAACTATTAGTGCAGAGGAACACAATCTTGCCTAATATTCTGGACAAGAAGGGACGAGTACCTCTCTATTATGCTGCTAATTTTGGTTTTAGAGAGATGGTTCTGTACTTATTGGATGTCACTAGATCTTTGGATGTCAACACAGAACATTTGGAGCCAAAGCCTTTGGGTGTCAACAAAGAAAATCTGGAGCCAAAACCATTTGAAGACAGATCAGGTGTTACACTTATCTCAAAGATATGTTTGTAATTTACCTGCAAATTTTATTAGTATTGTTGGATTTATTTGTTTACAACTTAAATATTTTTAAAATATTTAAAAACAAAACAAAGCATGATGCACGTTGTACCTTTTAAGCTTTAGACCAAAGTAACCAAAGTACAGACAGTTATCCAATTGGTTGATGTTTTCGAATTTAAAGGACATTTCATTTCATTTTCGTATTTTTTTTTTCAAAAATAGAAAAAAAACAAAAACTAACAAGGAAAAGTAATTTGACAAACTCTTTTAAAAAACTATTTTTGCACAAAGGAAAAAAAAAACAAGGAGAATTAGTTTTACACGGTTGTCCTGTACACCTAGAAATTCACAGTTTGCGAATTAAATTGTGCCATCTCACCGATCCTCAAATTTCAACTCAAAATCTAACAGATTTTTCCAATCAACAAATTTGTTGGCTATCATTCACAACTCTCACTATGAACCCATAAAGCAAAAGACATCTTTGTCTTTAATTTCTCTAAAATTTTCCTCAATCTCGTGATTCAATAATGTTAACGAAGTTTTAGGATAGAGAAAGTAGCATCTAACATAGAGAGAGAGATGATGATTCAAGTTGTTACTGGAGGGTGGACATTGGCAGCATGCTTCAAATGTCCTCATTTTTATTTTATTCTTCTTGCCATGTATTCTTATTGTTGCCTTTGAAAAGAAAGATCGAATTTGGTTTCTTGAATCTAGTTGACTAACTCTGTTTTGGAGCATTGACTTGCTGCCTCCTCTTGTAGATTGGTGTGTATCAATCAGATTTTATAAATCTCGAAATGTTTTAGATTGATTGGTGTGATGAACAAATCTACAAAGTGCATGGTGGGGTGAAAGAGGGAAAGTGAGAAGACAGCAGTCGACCGGTTTATGTTTCGGTTCGAATATACCCTCTAACTCATTCCCTCTTAAAAAGAAGTCATTTTAAGTTAAATTGATGCAAACCACGGTTAAACCGCTAACTGCGAATCGGTTTGTTATGTTTGGTAATATTGAAAAAGTTGATGCTAAAGGGACTTGAACACAACACCTCAAGCTCCCTAGAGCATGAATTTTCACTCTATTACCATGATTCATTCCTAATATATAGGAAATATATAATATTAATTGTACTCAAACTAATTTCCCTTAAGCATGAATTTGCACTTTGCTACCATGGTTCCATGCTAATATATAAGAAGTATATAATATTAATTGTACTCAAACTAATTTCCCTCAAACACATGTATAATTAATATTTTTACAAATAATATTAATATAAAAAATATATATAAACATATATATTCGGTGAATATATATATATTAAATTATAAAAATATTTTAAATGAATGTATTTTATTTATTTTTAAATTATAAAAATATTCATAAAATAATTATGACATCACAATTTGATTCCGGTTCAACTTAACGGTTAAACCAATGATCCATCTACATGATCTCTTTTCTGGTTCGCTCACCGGTCCGATTTTTAAAACATTAGTTGCTGGTGAGAGAACTGGGGGAGAGAGAGAAGAGGGGAGATGGGGTGGTTAACGGTGGGCGGTGGTGGTACGGTGATGGAAGTGGCTTGGTGCCTTGAGGGCAGGCCCGGCCCTGAGATTTTTGGGGCCCAAAGTCAATAATCAACTAATAAATTTTTGGGGCCTTTCACATTTTTTTTCCCATTGAATGAAAAAAAAAAAATTGAAAGTAAAGGACAAAAAGATTTGTGTCAAAATCACAAAAAATACTTATTACATTACAACAACTAATAAGTATTGTTTGATCCTCACTTTTCTTGTATTTTTAGAAGCAAATAAATCAATCATACTTGCATAATCTAATTTTTTTGCAAAATCATTTTTAATAAATAATAATGCTAATTATTTTAAATGGACCTTTCAATTTTTTAATGGATTAATTTATTTTAAGTTAATTTGGGCCTTCCTTATTTTTTTTTTTGAGCTTAAAATATACTTAATATATTAGACTAAAGTATAATAAGAGAGATCCATTTTTTGGGTTTATTTGGATAACAATGCTAATTTTTTTGAATGACCTTTTAATTTTTTAATGATTTAATTTATTTTTGGTTACTTTAGATATTTTTTAAATTTTTTTAGAGGGAATAGGACATGCCATTTTGTATTGGATGATTAGGATAAGGCATAATGATATGTTATTAGCTAAGAATATGGTCACATGATCCACGTGATGCAGCTAGACCAATCAATAATTTTTCAACAAGTTGAGGAGCATTTATATGGTAGATCCAAATTTCAATGAGGTGGCTTCATGTAATTGGTTGTCTGTAAATCTCAAATAAGCGTTTATTATTTTTGTTTTTAAAAATGCAAAAAAAATAAAAACTATTTTTACACAAAGATAAAAAAAAAAATGATATGAAAATCATAAGCATTTATTATTTTTGTTTTTAAAAAAACATACACACACAAAAAAAAAAAAGTTAATTATCTAAAAGTCCTATTTATAAATGTTATGATTACTCAGTTCTTATCTAAGATTTTTTGAACAAATACGTCCTATTTAGTAAAACTGATAATATTATCAATTTTTTTCAATTTTTAACTAAGAACATTATCAATTTTGCATAGTAATGTCCAAATAATTGTTTTACTAACTGATGAAAAAAACAAAGTATGAGATTAAATGTTTTTGTCTTTTTACTTATTGATTTGATTCAACTATCCAATCAAATCGAGAACATTATTAGTTTTTTCCAATTTTAAAAATGATAACATTATCAGTTTTTTTTTTAAAGTTTTTTTTTTTTTTTTTTGCACATCAATGTTCCATCATTATACTCCTTTATAGGCACAAAATTTTCAGTTTTGCACTACAAAATAATTCCGTTTTTTCAATTTTTCAAAAAAACAGTAATTTTTTTTTCCACATTTTTTTAGTTTTTTAGTTTTTTCAATTTTAAAGTTGATGTTTTAAAGTTTTAAGAATCAAAATAAATGTCAAATTATCATATTTCTTTATAGATAATCATAAATAATGAATAATCATTATTTGAAGGGTAATTCTGACTATTAAAAATTTAATAGGACTTGAAAGTCCAAAAAATTTTTATTAAAACTTAATGGAGTATAAGTTCATGAATTAGGAATTGTGTGTAAAAGCCTAAAAAAACAATTAATTTGAAATAAAAACAACTTTATAAAGGCTTTTTAGAAGGAAAAATATTATGAACTCCACTTATGTATCCCAAATGAGAGTTGTATGGTTGAAATTGAATTTATATAATGCAGGATCTCTGTGTAAAATAAATCTAAATTATAAAATGACAATTCTCGATAATTTTTAAATACTTAAATATGAATTTATAGTATTACTATTTTAAAAGTCGACGCTTAAAAAAGAAAAAAAAATTAAAAATACCACATAATCAAACACAATCTCTTCTTTATAGATCCTACTTTTTTTGTGGGTCAGACTAAACATATTCCTTGAGTAAGCAATTGGTCAATTATTGGCAAAGATTTTTTTGGTATAGTTCTAAATTAATTGTATTATACATAAGAATCATTTAATTAAATGTACAAAAAAGTGATATATTTGCACCTCATGAAAATGATATAACGCTGTTTGGGAAGAAATTTTTTTATTTTTTTGTTTTGGTTTTTTCTACTAAAAAATAAATTGGTTACAAAACAAAAAAAAATAAATCCAAACAAAATATCACATCAAATCTTATAATCATTTTACTTTTTCTCTCACAACCATCGCATCCAATCACAAAAAAACCCAATTATCTTTCCAAAGACAAAAAAAAATTCCTCCAATAATATCCTACAACTAAAAAAACCTACAAAAAAACTCACTTCCCAAACACTCACATTATTTTACCACTATATCCAACTAATTTGTAATTCCTCCAAGTTTTTTTTTTCCCCAAGATTTTTGCTACTGATAAATATCTGTAAGTGTGCATTGCATAACATATGCATACATTGTTACTATGTAATTTTGTGATTTGAGTTATACATTTTTGTAAGATAACTTGTGTAAGTTTAAAAAAAGTTACATGATTTTGTAAATTTCAAAAATTTTAAGAATATATATTTTTATGAGATCACTTATATAAATTCGTGAAAACTTAAATGATTTTATGAGTTATGCATATGGTGTGAAGCTTACTTGCTTCTGTATATGTGAAGCTTTGAGATGGTGGGTATATATATATTTACAACTTGGGTAGAAGATGATGGCAAGCTATAGTTGCATCTGGCATTAAACATAAAGAGTGGCATTTTGAAACAGAGAGAGAGAGAGAGAGAGAGAGAGAGAGAGAGAAAAAAGAGGATCACATCACAACAAACAAGCTTTCCATTTTCCATCAATGGCTTCATCAAGCAATCATCACTCTTTTCCAAAGTACCCATACCCATCAGAGTTTAAAGTGGAGGACTATGTCCCCATCATTCTCTTTGTAGCCAATTACTTTGAGTGGAAACAACCGATGCTCGACTTCATTCAGAGTCGAGGCGTGGTTGGTTTCATCTTATGTTTTTACTCCAACCATGCTCTTTATTTTAGCTATTTATCCAAATACTATTAATTTTATAGAATGCCACATCAACAACAAAGATGGAGGGAAATGATCCTAATGATTGAATACATTTTGCCTAGCGTTGAAGGCTAGCTACATGTAGCTAGTGAATATGAGTTGAGCTAAAATGCCTAATCATATGCCTAGTGCATTGGGATTTAAAAAAGTGAATCACACTAGGCATTTTAACTAACAAGTATTATATGCCTAGTGCATTGGAGATGCTCTATGCCTAGTGCATTGGAGATGCTTTGAGTTTGTAACAAACTGATAGTTGACACGTAACTCGTACCTTTGTCATTGTCAGGGTAAAATTAGGAGAGGGTTTGTGGGGATCTTAATCTTTTTCCCTTTTTCTTTTTTTTTTTTTTTCTTTTTTGGCAAGAAAGATCTAAAAAAACTATTAATGCCACAACATGAAAAAGGATCACTCCTGTCCATTGCATTTTATTTTAGGGAAACTACAGGTCACGGTATTTTGACCAAAAATAATTACAAGTGCATGGGGTGCAAATCTTTTTAGTATAGTAAAAAAACACAGGAAAAAAAAAGTTACATCCCACAAAAATTCCCATGTAGTTTCCCTTTTATTTTCATCTTTAATTTGATCAACCTTTTTGTTAGCTGATTTGTGTGTTGAATTGGATGACAGAAGAAGAAAGACAGAAAGTAAACCATTACCTCCCACTGCACATAGCTGCAATCAAAGGTGATTGGGAGAGCGCCAACAAATTTATAGAACAAGAACCAGATGCAGTCAGGGTTCCCGTCACTGGATTAAGACAAACATCACTTGTCGTCGCCATTAGGTTGGCGCGGAGAAATGAATTTGTGAAGAAGTTAATAGAGAAGATGTCACCAGAGGATCTAGCTCTAGTCGACTCCAGAGGCAGGACAGCCCTTCATGAAGCTTCAATAACTGGTAATGTTGAGGCAGCCAAACTATTAGTGCAGAGGAACACAATCTTGCCTAATATTCTGGACAAGAAGGGACGAGTACCTCTCTATTATGCTGCTAATTTTGGTTTTAGAGAGATGGTTCTGTACTTATTGGATGTCACTAGATCTTTGGATGTCAACACAGAACATTTGGAGCCAAAGCCTTTGGGTGTCAACAAAGAAAATCTGGAGCCAAAACCATTTGAAGACAGATCAGGTGTTACACTTTTGTATCGGTTGGCAACTAGTGGACTTTATGGTAAGTAATTAATGTCTATTATCAATTTAGAAAAAAATATTTGAGTCTGTATTTGGTTTATAAATTTAATGAGGGATTTGAAAAAAAATAAAAAAATAAAAAAATAAGTGAAATATGAATGAAATACAATTTCATTTTCCTTAAATTTCACACACCTTTTTCATTTTCATCAATTTCATTTTTAAATTCCTATCTACATTTATGAACCAAATACAGACTGAATATTACTTAAGATTTGAATTATGTTGACCAAAAGTTTTAGTTTATACCGTACATGGACTTTCTAAATTGATTTCATTTTGGGAAGATGGTTAAAAACTGATTTTTTGATTTATTTTTTTTTAAAAAATGTAAAAAATATAAGAGATGATATGGTCCAAAATAGGTTAAAAGTTAACTTTTGAGTTTTAATTACGTTCTCAAATTGGCCCAAAATATGTGAATTTGTATCTTGTTTTGAATTTTTTTAGGGAGAGATTTTCAATTATCTTACTTATTTCTGTTAAAAATCTTTAAAACTTCACATAAAACAAAAAATAAAAAATAAAAAATGATAGGATAGGATAGATTAGACCAAGGCAAACAATTGGAATTTAATATTTTAGTTTAAAAAGTCACTAAAAAGAATTAAAAAATCAACCATCTATATTAAGAAATTAAAAATTTTATTTTCTTTTTATTTTTTATACATTATTTTATAAATAATTAAAAAAATTAATCTAAATATATTAATTTTTTGAACCTCATGCTGACATATTACCCTGCCCCAAGAAATATTTTCTCCTAAATAATAGGTAAGAAAGAGTTACTGAGCAGTGGCAAGACAAATTCAGCGCCGCCCAAGTGCCACTGATCCCTCCCCTTCCCTCCCCTTCCCTCCCTTGGACCAGCATCTCTACCTCATCCTCCATTTTTACCACACTCCCAACCAAAACCCCTCTCTCTCTTTCTTTCTTTTTTTCTCTCTCTCACACGGTTAAAAATTGAAATCCCCCAAAATCACATCCAGGCTGAGAAGAACAGAGAGCATCATCAACCATTATGAAACAGGCAGTGAATGTTGCGAAATCGGGCTCAATCCGTCTGCAGAATTTGCTAGATCACACAACGTTCTTCAATCATCGTTCATTCTTCATTTCATTACTGTTCGTGTTAGAGTTAAAGCTTCCTTCAATCATTATTTGATTGTTGTTTGAGTTTGATCATGTATGTTGAATTGTTTGATTAATTATTTGTTTGATTGTTGTTTGGTCGATCATGCATCCTGTTTCATTTTTTTTTATGTCCGATTCATATGACAGCAATATGTTACTCTGCTTGTGTGATTTGTTTGTAAACTTGCAACGACAGTAAAACTTTACGGTCATAACATTTAATGCAAAAAAGAATAATATGTTAGTGTGAAATAGAGTAACTGTTTATATTAATTCTGACAGTAATTTTTTTTTTTTTAAGAGTGAATCTTGGTCGATAGATTTTGATGAGAAGATTTTATAAATACTACTTTTATTAAAAATTGATATTTTAAGATTAAAAGTTATATCATTTTAAAGTTTAAAAGATTAAATTACTAACTAAAGATATTTTAATACTTTAATATTTTAATAATAATGGTATGCGCTGTACTTTTAAAAAATACTTTTTGTGGCTGTCCTTAATCCATTAAAATTTTCAGCAATGGTAGGTGACCACAAATTCTGTGGCTCGAATGGCTTGAAACACTCAAAACGATGTCGTTTTGAGTGTAAAATAACACAAAACGACGTCGTTTTGACAGTTTCAGGCCATTTGAGCCACAGATTTTGTGGCTCTCAAACATTTTTCTAAAATTTTATTACGAGGGGCTTAGACCAAATCCCCCTATATTATGTGCAATAAAAAAATAAAATAAAAGTGAGTAAATTGACAAAATATTCTAAAAATTTAAGAATCTAAAGTGAGTAAATTTAAAATTTTCATAATTTAAATTGAAAAAAATTGAAAACATGAACTTGTTTTTTGCAAAGAATCTAATTTCCATTTTCCATCAATCCTTATCCTACAGATATTGCTCTAAGCGTGCTTTCCCGCTACCCTAAGTTGGCATATTTGGAACCATCTCCTCTGATAATGATTTCTAAAAAGCCTTCTTCATTTCGAAGTGGAACCCCCTTAAATTCCTGGCAGAATTTAATCTATTCAGGTTAGTATCTTCAGTCCTTGTCTCCCCTCTCTATCTATTACCTATTGTACAATTATATTGATGATTAATGTATTTATTTTTGGCATAGTTTGTTATGATACCACTAATGGAATTGGGGAATAGGGATGAACAAATGACATGAACAGATAGATAGATGCTTCATGTCAAAGTAAGAACGGTTAAACACATTGGCTAAATAATATTAGAGAAATGATATTTGTCATTGCATATATTTCGTAGTGTTATTTATTTCACTCTTTACATGTATTTTCATAACAAAATGGCTGCTATTTACAAGACTCACTATGTTTAATTTTTTTGAATATGATATTGACCACTCTGGTTGTTTTATTTTTTATTCTATCAATAGTTTTCCTAGTACACAAACATGATTAAGTGTTAGCCAGACCCCCAATTATGTGCCAAAAAGAAGTTAATGTCATGAGCATATTTCTCTTTTTTCCTCAACAATCTAGGTTTTCTGCAAAATACAGTCCATAAGGTACTTTTTTCAAGTATAATTTACCTAATCTTTTGTTATTAATGTAGGTGTTCCCATAAAATTGGAAACCATTGCAGACCACCATAGCCAAAGAGACATTGAGAATCCTACCGACTGCTTCATTTCAAGTGTGGTTGATGGTAAGGCTTGAACCTCTAATCTTACTCCATCCTTGCAACATGGTATTACATAATGAAAGTTTGAAATAATAGCTGGTAAACATTCAAGAATGGCAGCCACCGCCCACACTACTAAAAACTCAAAAGTAATATGTGCACTTCCCAAAAGAGAACTTGAAATTCTTAGGCCACCCATCAACATCAACATACTCCCAAATGTGAAAGTATTTCGTACTTTTTTTGGGTGAATAGTATTTCGTACTTACAAGCCACAATAGTGCACAAATGGCCCCAATACTAGCTGTGAGAACATTGATCTGTGGGCAGGGGTTATTGTCTTCAATGATGTCCTTCGCATTTGTTCTATTATGATTAAAAAATGTTAATTTTTTTGCTGATAAAAAAATATCTTTGAGAACCTGAATTTGCAAGGGCAAAATAGGTTTGGTCCATAGCTTTTGTCCTTAATCCAAAAAGTTTTGTTTCAAGCCTAAGGCCAGACTAAGGGGTGCCTGAGCTCTCTTTCATCATCTCATTCTTCTTTTCTGCTGAACAATGGTTGCACAAAGGGTGAAGCGCCATTTATGAGAGAAGGGGCTGGTTCTACTATCCAAAAATGCACATTTTTTAGTCCCTCTTGAATGGAGAGTCTAGGATTAATCGGAGTCACATATTTAATCATATTTGTTTTTCAAAAAAGGAACACAACTATGATTTTAAGAGTAAACCATCAATTTCTTTGAAAGCAAATGTAATGAAATCATATAGTTATAATTATTGAATTGATCTAGTTTTTTATGGATGATCTATACTTGTAAAATTTTAAAATGATTGGTTTGGATCATCAAAACCGGCAATGTGGCCCCAACAAATCACAGAACTGGAGGCTCCAGTGCTTCTCTCCATTCTCTTCCTACTGGAGAGAAGCTGGTTCCAAATTGATTGGAGAACTTTGATGGACAAGATGGAAACTCATGCAATGGCACATATTGCTTAAACAAAAATAATATGAAATCCTTCATTGGGATTAATTAATTTTATTATAGCATGATCATCAAAATCCAAACAATGCAGTAGAACTAAAATGTGACGGCAAGCATATATATCATCACTATGATATACCACCATAATAATAATAAATTAAAAATAAATGAAGCAAGTTTCTTACCTATATTTTTGGGAAAAATAAGCCATTGATTAAAAAAAAAAAAATTGTTTTCAAATCCTCCAAGCACTAGAGAAGTAGGTTCCAATGAGCAACATAGAATGAGAGAATGTCTACATACAAATCATTATTAGGCTGGAGCTTCAACCATAAATATCTCCTTATAAGATTTTTCTCTACTAAATCCAAACTAGAGATTAGAAGGGTTCAATCTATGAATTACTTATGAATAAAGCTTGAGAATCTGTGTATGCTCAAAACCTTTTCTTTGATTCTGTAGGAATTAGATTGTCACCAAGGCATTTCGTCACTGATTTTGACTGGTTTAGTATTTCTGTGCAGTGAAGCGAAGATTGCATGCTATATTTTGGGATGTGGCTGAAAATTTTGGTAGGGAGTCAATGAATACCATTTTATGTTCATGTTAGTCTAGTATTTATTAATTGTTATTGGATCCTTAAGATCATTTTAATTACAGTGCCACAGATCAAGCACATACGAGAGAAAAAATTGTTACACCATCAAGCACTTGAGCTTGTCAAACGCCTTTGCATGGAAGTTGTAAAATCAAATATCCTAAGAGCGCCCCAGATATTTGTGATTCCTTTACACCAAGCAATATCTTTTGGGATTCGAGAAATCGTTGAAGAGATTTTAAAGTCAGACCCTAATACGATTAATCTTCGCACCATGGAGGACCAAACCGTATTCCAATATGCAATTATGTGCCGAAGTGAAAGTGTGTTCAACCTTATATATCAACTTGAGGACTATAGCCATGCTCTTTTATCATCACGAGATATGTCTTCAAACAATGCTCTGCATTTGGCTGGATTTTTGGGACCTATGCAGCAACTCAAAGTCAGTGCAGCAGGTCCAGCTCTACAAGTGCAGCGGGAATTACAGTGGTTTAAGGTAATCTTTTCCCTAATAATGTTAGGATAATTATATTTTTATCATATTTTGTTTATTGTGCCACACAATCATTTGATACAACAAAGGCATGTTTGATATTTTTTTCTCAAGTTGAAAGTTGATAATTAGAAAATAGAAGCTAAAAGCATCCCTCTTCCAACTTTGAGATAATCATCGAATATTTGTTATTACAAAATAATTGAATATTTTTCTGGGTACCAGTAATTTTTCTGAATAATTGAATATTCAATTATTCAAAAAAAAAATTGGGTATAGATAATTGAATAATATTTGTTAGTTACAAAATAATTGAATATTTTTTTTGGTACAGATAATTTTTCTGAATATATAGTATTATTGTATCAAAATTAGCATACCTGCTAAGGAATTCCATCTCACAGAGGAAAAATAAATTTCATAAACTTTTGTTATTAGAATGCATGGATTAAACCATCAACCTTTCTTGAGTGACAATGTCTCCAGTCAAACCACTTACTGCTCATACTAGAGATCAATGGTGCTAACGCCTTTTGAATGGATTAGGATTCTCTGCAATAATTTTTAATACAAAATAATTTTATAATAGTAGTTTAAAAGATTTAAAATAGTCTTGCAATAGTAGTTTAAAAGTGATTTAAAGACTAAAATACAATGAATTGGTGGTTTGAAAGTGGTTTAAGGGTTTCGATCACCCTTAACCACCATTACAATTTATTGCACCAAAAATTATCATAGAGATTCCTAATTGCAAAGTGCTTAACAGATAAACTAACAAGTATCAATAATAATAAAAAAATTAAAAGTAATTTTTTGAAGGGTAAAGTCCAAAATTCCCGTAACTTTTTTAAACCTAATTACTTTTTAAAGAGACACACCCTTAACTATGAAAATATGGACGGACTTTTTTAACAAATATCCATAAACTAAAAAAGTTAAGCTAGAAAAACCCTCTTTGGATAGTTTAAAAAAGGCTAATTTTTTGGTTAAAAATAATTAAGCTGATTAAGCTATATAATTGAATGCAATAAGTTTGTCAAACACCTCTAAATCTTGTAAACAAACAGGAAGTGGAAAAATTTGCACGGCCTCGAGACAAGGAGCGTAAGAATATCTTGGAAATGACACCTGCAGAAATGTTTACAGATACACATAAAGAGTTGGTGAAAGAAGGAGAGAGGTGGATGAAAGACACGGCCACTTCATGCACTATTGTAGCTGCGCTCATTGCCACTGTGGTGTTTGCGGCAGCCATTACAGTGCCCGGTGGAAACAATAACGAAAATGGCCATCCAATTTTTTTCAAGCAAAAACCGTTTATAATCTTTGGCATATCTGATGCACTTGCTCTTTTTTCATCCATTGCTTCTGTGTTGATGTTCTTGTCCATCCTCACTTCTCGCTATGCAGAAGAGGATTTTCTCTATGCCCTACCCAATAGGTTAATTATTGGTCTCGTTTCCTTATTTGTTTCGATATTATCGACAATGATAGCCTTTGGTGCTACACTCTATCTTGTGTTTGGAGATAATGCAGCATGGATTCTTATACCTATTGTTGCATTGGCCTGTTTACCTGCAACTTTGTTTGTAGCCTTGCAATTTCCTCTCCTTAAAGAGATGATTAAATCTACCTACGGTCCTGGCATTTTTGGTAAGCAAGGTGATGATTTGCTCCTCTAGTTAAAACACCAAAAGTTGAGACTCCAAAAATATATCTTCAGCTCAAAGGCTGTTGGTATGCACCACATCTCTCTCTCTCTCTCTCTCTCTCTCTCTCTCTCTCTCTCTCTCTCTCTCTCTCGGTTCTTCATGAATCTTTGAACGCCTACCAGTAGGGAGGCTTGGCTCCCCACTGTGTGAAAGTGTGTGGATACAAGCTGGTATGTCTGTATAAGGTGTTCCTAGTGTGGAATGGTGTGCATTGTGATGCAAGCAAGAGGTTTACTTGAGTTGTGAAGTAAAGGTGGGAGTGAATTAGTGATTAAAGGTGTCTTTAAAATGTGTGTGAAGTGTATGTGGGTTAAGTGTGTGAGCAAGTGAAGTCCTCTTATGTGTGTAAATCATACAAAAAGCTTATAGTGTGACTACTTGTAATTTTGTGCAAGTATCATTGTGTTTTTAATAATAAAAATTTAATCGTGCTGTGTTCTTGCTCTACATTTCAAATTTCAAAACACAATTATGAATTGCTATTAAGAAAAAAAAAATAGTGCTATACGTAAATTAATTTTTCACCACTAGACACCAAGGTATTGGAATCCACATTAATAAATACATGTACGACCCATATTTTTGTGTCTAGTGAAAAGAAAAAGAAGTAAGAAATATGCTCATATATAACAATTTTCTTTTAAAAAAGAAATTATGGATTGCTATTTGCTTTGGTATTGATTAAGAATATTCACTTGCTTTCTAACTGTTTGCAGTCACTTATATCATTACATTTTTTTTATTTACTTTACTAGCTGTTAGAATATAAGTCTTCTTTGTTGAATTCCAATGATATTTGTTACTGCATGGTAGTTCTATAACTATGATAAAAAAGATTAGTAGTAATGTTTGATACTCAATGTTCAGATCTACATAACTGGAGCCTTAGGAATGGCATTTGTTTGGTTTTTTGATATCGAAAAAATCGTGTTTGTTTGGAGATCGGCCACCAAATGAGATGGGGTGGTTCACTAGGGAGGGAATGGGGGGGAGGGGTGGTGGGCAAGGTAGGCTGGTGGTTATGGGGGAAGGAGCAGTGCCAGCGTGGGTTTGTGGGGAGGGTTTGTGGTGGTTCAAGGGCTTTTTTTTTTTGGTGGTTCAAGGGCTGGAGGGAAGGGTTTGCGGTGGTTTGCGGGTTGGTGGGGAGGGATAGCGGCTAGTGGGGAAGGGTGTGGCACTGACAGCAATGGCAGTTGGAGGGGTGTTTGGTAATTTTACTGAGGATAGAATTGTAATTAAAAAAAGAAAAAGAAAACGAGGGTTGTAAGGAGTTAAATCTATGGTGTTGTGTAAATAGAAGCTCCCATAACATTACTCTATTTTCAAAATCCCTCCCTTTTAGGACGAAAATTCAAACATAGTAACTTTGATATGCCTCCCATCCTAGTGGGTTTATCACCTTATAACAGTTATTCCATGAAACCTTGACCGGGCTCAGAATCTTTGCACTGACAATATTCTTCTCTTTTAGACTACAACTCATGATGTCTCAAAAAAATTCCAAGAAAAGTTAAAAATCAATGTAATAATTTTCCGATGTCCCCTAAAAGAAACGCAGCATTTAGAAAACTTTTCATTTCAAGCTGATGTAAAGTCTTCACTCATACACGTACATTTTATTCTTGAAAAAGTTTGAGAATGCAAAATGTGATCACAGAATTGGATACAATCCTTTTACATGAGGTGGACTTACCTTTTTGTGGATCCCACATCTATGTGAGAGGTTTATGTTTGATTCTGTAATTGGCTTATATGCAATTAAAAGAACTGTTTATTCTCTGCCATGTTTAGTGATAATTGCATGAGACTTTTATTTGGCTAACTAACCGGCAAAAATTTGAGACACATTTATGTGTTAATGGTTAGCTATAGATTATATTCATTGATCCAATGTGTCTGGATGGACAATTTCTTTTTTATTATTGTTAATATTTTTTGTGTAAATATTATCAAAAGTGAATAACTAAAGCGATAATACATACATATATATATATATATATATATTAGGAAATTTTAATAATTTATTTATTTTTGCAAATAGATAACATAAGATGACCATTTTTTTTTTACTATAGTTTGTTTATTGTTTGATGTGGTGCACTCACAATCATTGATATTGCATTTCCCTCCATGAGGATTCTTTAGTTGTATTCTTTTGCATCAGCTTGATGCTGTTTTTAATAATATTGCATTTATTTATCATTAAAAAATAAATAAATCATTAATATTCAACTACTATAGATATGTCGCATCATGTAATATATAAATATATATACGTATGGTAACTATAGTTTGTTAACCAATGTCATAGACATTGATTAATGAATATTTGTGGCCTTACATTCCTTAACTGTGTCCACTTTATGAAAAGAATATAGAACCACTTTAAATTTGAGCTATATACACAAAAGGGTTGAATAATTATTAAATTGATGGTCTTCTGCATCGCATTAGACTTTAAAACTTGAACATATAAGAGAGGATATATCTCAAACTAGGTTGCTTCTATTCTATCAATGTCTTCCTTGTTTGAGAAGTACCCATATCCGCCAGACTTTAATGTGAGTGAGTTTGTCCCCGAGCTCAATGAAAATAACTCTACTTTGACTGGAAAAAAATTATGCTCGACTTCATTGAGCGTCGAGGCTTGGCTGGTTTTATCGATGGCACGGTTTAGGCTCCACCTAAAAGGATCCCTGTTTCAGATGTTGGTCATGATTATGCTATCAGTACAGAAGAGGTTGAGAATGATGATTACAGTTCCTGGGAAAGATCAGAAGTTTACTTGGGCCCAGTTCAGTTGTCAAGTAAAAAATCGATGCTCGACTTCACTGATCTTCAAGGCTTAGCTGGTTTCATCGATGGCACGGTTGAGGCATTGCCTGAAGGGGTCCCCGTCTCAGATATTGGTGATTATTCTGCTAGTTGTATAGAAGAGGTTGATAATCAGGATTACAGGTCCTGGAAAAGATCAGACAATCTCATATGGGGATGGATCCTGATTATGCTCACCAAATATATCCTCCAACAAGTTCTGCTTTTTAGAACTGCTAAAGTGGTGTGGACAATGTTGGAGAAAATGTTCCACTTGGCTAAAGCTTTTTCTCAACTTGGTAATGACTTTTTAAAGGTTTTAAGGGTCAATACACTTTGCTCCCTTGCACTTTCACGAAAATATCACTTTTGACGAAATCATTTTGTTTTTTAATTGTGATAGTCAACCCTTTGCGCTTTGAAGTCAAGTTGCAATGCCGCCTGTTCGTCCACCTGGCATTAACGAAGCCGAACAAATCCTTTATGCCCAAAAGACATTGAAAAGGATCACCGCCAGACATGAAACTAATGTGGCCCTTTGAATTTTATTTTCCTGTTTGTGTTTTGTCAACCAACCATGTGTCGACTGTCATCTGATCTGTATGTGTTTGATGGATGATAGACAAAGAAACAGAGACGAGGCTAAAATGTTATCAATCACTACACGAGGATGAAATCAAAGGTGATTGGGAGAACGCCCTCAAATTTATAAAACAAGAACCAGATGCAATTAGGGTTCCCATCACGGTATGGTCAGAAACAGCACTCCATGCTGCTGTTAGGTGGGTGCGAAGAAACCGCAAAGAAGCTAGTGGAGAATATGGCACCAGAGGCTCTAGTTCTAGCTGACTTCTTTGGACAGACAGCCCTTCACATAGCTGCTGGAGCGAACAACATTGAGGCGGCCAAACTGTTAGTGGAGAAGAACCTGAAGCTATCTAATGTTCAGGACTTTGACGGATATATACCTCTCCATTATGCTGCTGCACATGGGAATAGGGAGATGGTTCTTTACTTATCGGATGTCATCAGAGAAGATGCAAAGCTCAAACCGTTGATAAATCAGGTGCTAAACGGTTACATTTTCTAGCACATTGTGGACTTTATGGTGAGTGATTAATATTTAATAATGTAATAAATACTCTTTTTGATCCCTAAATATGCAACTTCATGACACTTTAATAGGTCTCATTCTTACAATTGTGTCAATTTAATTAATAATGAAATGTGTGTTTTATGTGATCCTTATGTTTGATGCGATAAAAAATTATTAGTGATGAAATCGATCAGGAAATTTTTTGAAAAACGTCTAACCCTCAATCCAAAAACTTGAGTTCACTCACCCCGAGTGAACCAAATTTCTTTGTTATTTTTGTGTATTAGACAACCCTTTTTCACATTTTCACGCATTACCCCTTGGTATGTGTCTGGTTTAGGCTGCCTCATGCCATGTGGCATTTTCTGACCATTGAAATTTAGACCAAACTAAGATAAGTTGAAGAGTCCTAAGTGGGTAATCTTTTCATTAGGGACCAAAGTTGGAAAATGATTATATTTTAAAAGGTGAATTTGTAATTTACCTTTTGTATTTTTTTTATGAGAATGGTTTCCAACTATCTTAATTATTTTCATTAGATACCTCTTTCTTTTTATTTATTTACTTATTTAATGGGAGATACCCAGAAAAGACACTTACAGAATGCTAGAAGCCTCAGCCATACTAGAGGGGATATAGATTGTGGGACTTCCTCTATCCAAATACTAGAAAACTCAAAAGATGACAGCCATAGCCATTCTAGTCAAACAGTGAGCAATATTTTTTCCCTCTCTCTCTATAATCACCCGTTGATAACCCAAGTCTGTGGAACATATCAAAACTTCACTTTAAAAAAAAAAAGGCAATATCATATTTTTAAAAGAGAATAACTTCTTATCAGTTAACTAACTGTTTTTTATTTTTATTTTTTTTTGCCATCAATCCTACAGACATTGCTCTAACCTTGCTTCAGTGCAACCCAAAGTTGGCATGCATGGAAGAACTCTCTCCTTTGATGGTAATTGTTGAAAATCGTTCTTCATTTCGAAGTGGAACCCCCTTAAACTTCTGGCAGAACTTCATCTATACATGTCATTCTCTTCGATCCCTTCTCTATTCTCTTTATCTATTACCTATTCAACAATTTTCTCTACTGATGAATTACTTAATTATTTGTTGGAAATGTTTCACAAGCAGATTTTTTATACATAAAGCCTATTGAAAGTGGTTTGATAGAGACATTTTTATAATTACAAGCTACAATAATTAGTGTTCTGGTTTGAAATAAAAGGATGTCTAGAGATCTCACATTATTTTTGTATGAAAATTATATTTGTATAGCATTAGTCTTATTTGTTTGTTTTTGGCTCGAGCTACCACTAATGGAATTAGAGGATACACAAAAGATGTGGACATTGCTAAAGAAAGTCATGAAATACATTGGCCAAATAAAACATATAAAACTGAGATGGCTACGGAAATCTTGGTGTGCAATATATGTTTGTTGTGTACCAATTTCTTACTTAATGTTGCATGTAAAAATAAGATAGCTAAAGGTGTAGATAAAGTAAATTTGAATCCATGAAGGACTTTATACACGCAAAATTCACTTAAGTTTTTTGTTATGTCATGTAGATCTTGCAATGAAATTGGAAAACATTACAAAGCACCATAGTGGAGGAGACATTGAGAATCCTTCCAACTGCTTTATTTTTGGTTTGACTTTTGGTAAGCCTTGAACCTTTAATCTCAATACTAAATATTCTGTTGAGTGCTAGCCTATTGGGTTTCGATCTTCATTGCTTGGCACCATTTGGCATTAAATTTGCACAGTGATTTGTTGAATATGGTGGTGGCGGCCTAGTGGTACTTAGGACAACAGGTTTTTGGATGTGGCAAATATAATCAAAGCCGACCACATAAACACAAGGATCATTGTTCTGGACTGACCAAGAGTTGACTGTGGTACTAGGATTGATTATGGACATACCGGAGTATAAAAGGGTAGTTTGTAACAATCCTGTCCCACATGGGAAGTTTTCATGGATGATCTTTTGTTTAACTGATACTTAAGCATTTTGGGTCATGTTAATCGATCGATTTTCCTATAGGTTACTTGGGCCAGTAGATTGTGGGTGTGACAAGACTCTTGTCCCACATTGGAAATTTATATGGGCGATCTTGAAGATGTATGGCAACACTAGTTTGTTACTAATTAACTTGAGTTATGGGTCGTTACACACACCAAAAATAAATCACTAAATTATACCAAATTCTATTAGAATAATGGCAAATCTAGGTATCCATCCACAGGGACAAATGTGAGATTAGATTAATTCAATCACTAAATTCCTAAATTAATTTTGATTAAAAAGATAAGATTGATTTTATAACTAAACATCAATTAAATGGAATTGAAGAATTATATTGACAATTAAAATTAGGGTTTGAGATATTAATTTTCGGGAAAAATCCTAGGGCAGAGAATTCACCACTAACCACATGAATGAGACTTAACATTGGCCAACAATCGCGATTTGGTTTGAACTACCCAATGTTTCATAACTACAAGTTTGAAATATTGATCAAGAGGGTTGTCGCATTCAACGTACAGGCACGAATCATCCCGAGTAGTACGAGTCGTTTGCTCTAAATTATGGTAGCAATACGACCTGTCTCTCATAGCATGACTCATCTCGTACTTTGTATACAAACACAAAAAAACTAATGTATGGAAAACATTAAACAATCACAGAGAGTAAAATGCTTGAAGAGATGAAAGAAACAAATATTAAAGACTTCTAAATCATCTATACATCCATTCAAACCAATTCACAATTAAAGCTAATGAAAAATCCTATTATATGGCTAGGGTTTCATCAAAACCCTAGAAAAGACGACTAACCACTCATAGAGGAGTGGGAAGAGGAAGAAGATGAGGAAGAAACCCCCATGGAAGTGTCCTTCAAGCTTTGGTAGAATATCACCTCTTTAGAACCTTAGCCTCCCTTTTCTCTAAATTAATTTTCGAACCCTAGGTTTGCCTATTTTTCTGTCTTTTATTCTCAGCAAAACAGACCAAAAATTCCGTGCACGCATTCCTATGTGGGCCGCTCGAGCGCCCATGTGGGCCGCTCGAGTGGTGGTGGGCCACACATGCGGTGAAGCTTGGCTGCACGTGCGGTGGTCTGGCTGGCTCGGATTCTTCACTTCTCACACGGAGGATCTGCTTTCGCTCCCTTTTTGATTGAATTTTCATATTTCCTGCCAAATTTGTACAAGTGCACGAAACAAATCATCTCCACCAAATAAACAAAATTGAAAGACTAAAAATGTAACTTGAATGGCCTCAATGTGGTACATTTCGGCCTACATCATTGAGCTTAAGCATTTTAGATTATATTGGTAAACTCACTTTCTTTAGGTTACTTGAACCAGCTGAGTTTTGAAAAGCTATGTATACTAAAAACCTGTCTCCAATTTGTTAGCAATTAGCTTGTCACCAGAGCATTTCCCTCTCAGGTTTTGACTGTTTTGGTATTTGTTGTGCAGTTAAGCGGTATGCAATGTTTTGGGAAGTCGTCGTAAAAATTCATAAGGATTAGGTGAATATTGTTTTACATTTATGCTAGACTAGAATTCATTGTTACTGCATATCCTTAAAAAATTATTTAATTACAGTGCCAAGCATATCTGAGAAAAGAAATTGGTACACCATCAAGCACTTGAGCTTGTCCAATTCATTCGCATGGAAGTTACAAAATCAAAATTTTCACAAGCTGCTCGGATATTTACACCAGCGTTACTGAAAGCAACGTCTGTTGGGATTCATGAAATTGTTGAAAAAATTTAAAGTCATGCCTTTCTGTGGTTGGTCTTACAAACCCGAAGAAGCAAAGCTTTTTCCAATATGCAATTGTGTATCATCATGAAAATGTGTTCAACCTCATATATCAACTTGAGGAGTTTGGTTGGTTACTTTTATCAGTCCTAACTCAATGGGAAACCATGGTCTGCATTGGGCTGGATGGTCGGGACCTCAACAGCGACTTAGTCTCAGAGTGAGTGCAGTTGGTGCAGCACTACAGATGCAGCGGGAATTGCAGTGGTTTAAGGTAATTTTCCGATTCCCTATAGTAAACAAATAATTGCTAATTGAATAAAATGATTAGCTATTTCGTTCTTTATATTTTTTTCTTCTCTAGGTAGACCTTATCATAAACCAATTGGGTTGTCTTGGTGACTAGTGCCTATGATATATGGGAAGTCATGGGTTCGAATTGCAAGGTGAGGACTAAATGGTTAAAAGTCCTATTTCCTACTTCCCCTGGAGGCCATCCCGTGACTTAGGCTTAGTTAAATATGATACTAGAATATATATATATATATATATATATATGTATAGAGAGAGAGAGAGAGAGAGAGAGATTAGTAGGAGCAAAACCACAAACACTCGTGAGCAAAAAATAAAAACTTTATCACAAGTTACATATCTGAATATCATTTCCGCATCGTGTTACTGGTCAAGTAGTAAATAATGTCAATTGGCATTATGTTTTTTAGAGAAAGAGTTCCAGTTATCACAGACCCATTTTTTAGCACAAGGCACCTACAAACAAATTTGATTCCACTATTTCAGCCATTGGCTTTCCATTCAAGATTTTCCATTTAAGATTCTACAAATTTTATTAATTGTTAATTTTGTAAGATTTATTTTTATCATAATATGAGTTTGTTTGACGGGCTTGAGATTTTAACATCATTTTAAGTCCGGACTTGGGATCAGATTTTTAGGCTTGATGTCGGGCATGGCCAAGCATGGGCACGATAGTTTCTTGCTATTTTTCCTAGCCTAGGCCTGCCCCTTGATCCAACCCGGTGGATGCCCACCCGTAGATTGAGCTAACCAAGTTTCTTTTTCTCTTTTCTTTTTCTTTTTACTTATATTTAATTTATTTGTGATGATTTTAGATGGTTTTAGTAACTTCTGTGTCATGTCAATTAAGTTTTATTCTCAATTTTTTTTTTTCCTTTTTTAATATTGTATCTCAATTATAATGTAGTTGAATGAATCATCAATTATAGTACAAATCACAATTATATAAAAACTCCAAAAATGGGAGAGACCATAATTAAAATCAGGAGAATATATTCATGCATGGGTGGAAAAAATCCAACTCTTGACCTAATAAAGTGCAAAAATTCTGGCCAGCAAACTAATCCCATTAATCTTGAACTTGGGGTTGAGTTCAGGCTACAATTACGCTGTGTTTGGAGAAACTCTCCAAACACATTTTCACCCATTGATTTTAGTGTGGTATTTGTTTTGAATTTTCGAATTATAATTCTACACTCACTTTTGAAAACACTTTTTCAACGGAAAAATTTGACTAACCTGGACGTCCAAACCGGTTAACCGGAACAGGGTTCGTTTTTTTTTTTTTTTTTTTTTTTTGGCACATGTTATTTTTATATTTTAAATAAAAAATATTTTTAGAATTTTTTAAATTTTTTTTATAAGCTTTGAATAAGATTTTGAGTTATGTGTTTGGCTATGAAGCACGGACACCTCTCCGAGGGCTCCGTACCAGTGTCGGACACGCGTCGGACACGCGTCGGACACGCGGTGGACACGTGTCCGACACGCACTAGAGAGTGTCCAATTTTTTTTTTATTTTTTCTGAAGCCGGACACGTCCAGGACATGTTATGGACACTTTGGGACACGCACGGGGCCAATTTCAGAATTTACAAAACATTTTTAGGGTCAATTTCAGAATTTACAAAATATTTTTGGGGTCAATCTGTAAAAAAGCAAAAAAAATTATGTTTGCCCTAAATCAAAAGCCCTAAATCGATCTAAGAGGTTAGTAGAGAACAAAAAGAGAAAGAGAGAAGGCAGATAACAGAGGAGAAAGACAACCTGGTCGCTCGTCCGTCGCTCGTCATCGCTCGTCGCTCGTCGTCGCTCCTCGGCCGTCGCTCGTCGTCGTAAGGTACACCTTTCTCTCTCTCTGTGTCTGTCGAGGTCTCCTCTCTCTCTCTCTCTCTCTCTCTCTCTGAGTCTTCTTCTGGTCTTCGTCCTTCCTTCGTCTTCGACTTCGGTCTTTTTCTTTTCTTTTTTTTTCTATTATTTCAGAATATATATATATATATTTATTAATTAGTTTTGTTAATAAGTTATTTCAAAATATATATATATATTTATTAATTAGTTTTTGTTAATAAGTCTTTTTTCAGAATATGTATTTATTTCAGAATATATATATATATATATATTAATTAGTTTTGTTAATAAGTTATTTCAAAATATATATATATATTTATTAATTAGTTTTTGTTAATAAGTCTTTTTTCAGAATATGTATTTATTTCAGAATATATATATATATATATATTAATTAGTTTTGTTAATAAGTTATTTCAAAATATATATATATATTTATTAATTAGTTTTTGTTAATAAGTCTTTTTTCAGAATATGTATTTATTTCAGAATATATATATATATATATATTAATTAGTTTTGTTAATAAGTTATTTCAAAATATATATATATATTTATTAATTAATTTTTGTTAATAAGTTTTTTTTCCAGTTTTTATTTCAGAATATATATATATATATTTATTAATTAATTTTTGTTAATAAGTTTTTTTTCCAGTTTTTATTTCAGAATATATATATATATATTTATTAATTAATTTTTGTTAATAAGTTTTTTTTCCAGTTTTTATTTCAGAATATATATATATATATTTATTAATTAATTTTTGTTAATAAGTTTTTTTTCCAGTTTTTATTTCAGAATATATATATATATATTTATTAATTAATTTTTGTTAATAAGTTTTTTTTCCAGTTTTTATTTCAGAATATATATATATATATTTATTAATTAGTTTTTG